TATGAAAAGTGAATTTACTCTGTAAATCTTCACCCAAATCCTAATAAAAAATAAATAAATAAATAAAATAATGATGCTGAGTGAAAGAAGGCAGACAAAAGAGTACATTCTGTGGGATTATATTAATATACAGTTCTGGAAGATGTGAATGAATTTATAGTGACATAAAGTGGATAAATGGTTGCCTGGAGGAGGAGGAGGTTAGAGAAAGATTGGAGGGAAGAATTACAAAAGAACATGAGGAAACTTTTTGGGGTGATATAATGTTCATTATCTTGATTATGATGATAGCTTCACACACACACACACACACACACAAAACTATTGCTATTGATTCTGATTCATGGTGACTGCAGGTATATGTGTGTGTGTGTATAATATATGCTAAATTTGATCGAATTGAATATTTTAAACATTTGTAGCATATTGTATCTCAATCGTACCTCAATAAAGCTAGACAAACAAAAAATAAGAACAAGCTTAACCTTGAAACAAACCAGAGAAGTGGTTTAACTGTAAAAGGAGCTGTTGGGTTGACTGACAGTTGTTTTTGTTTGTTTATTTTGGGAAGTAGTTTTGCTTTGTTTCCTTTAAAGTGCAAACACAAGCACATTTTTAAGCTGAAAGAGGATATAGAAAACTGTAGGAAAGATAGGAAGCAATTCATGGAACAAGGTCCTAAGAGAGAAGCTAAGACTAAGACTATTCAGAGCCCAAGGTGAGGGAACACATTTTGGACTGGAAAGAAAGGGATAAAAATGTTTGTAGGATATATGCAAGGTACATCACTTCCTGTTTTTTATTTTCTCAGTGTTGCAGCCTGAGAATATCTTATTCTTGGGTGCCAGTGACATTAACTTCAGCTAAATAATCAAATCACCCTAATGTTCCCCATTGAAGAGTGGTACTTCTCCTTAGAATGGCTCCTTTGTAGAGGTTTCAAATGATATGGATCTGTGATAACTAAACCAAACCATACCAAACTCAATGCTGTTGAGTCAGATCTGACTCATAGTCACCCCCCCCCCTTGGGTTTCTGAGGCAGTATCACTAGGGAAGTAGATTGCCCAACCTTCCTTCTGAGGAGTGGCTGTTGGGTTTGAACCACTAGCCTTCTGGTTAGCAACCAAATGCCTTAGGCACTATGCGACCAGAGCTCCTAATACATTCTAAACACTAGATTATTTTATTGAAAAGTGGACTGTGTCTTTCCCCTTATCAAGAAAGGGCTCTAAATTCAAGGTGTTTGCTCTTTTACCAAAGGTTTTTTCATATACATCCTAGGAGCACAGCTAAGAGTCCTGAAATATGCATGCTCTGGCATGTGTTTGTGTAACATGGAAAGATGAGTAGTCACCTCAGTGTAAGGGATATTGATCTTCAAAATTCATAATGTGATTATTTGTTGTACTTGTGTGCATGTGTTAGGATTGCTTGCTGCATAGTAATTGACATTTAATTTCATATTGTCAAAACAGTGCAAAAACTAAGTGTCAGTTTAACAGAATCACTTGTCATTTTGGCATTAAGATAACTTGCAACTAAACGTTTTGATTTCACAATGTGCCATTTAAAACAGTAACATTCAGACTTCCAGGAGTATGCATTCAGGGAGCTTTAAGACCACAGTCCACTAAAATAAAATCCTAGTCTTTTAGGAATAGTTTGTAGTTTATTTTTCATGTACATTCAACAGCTCTAATATGATGTGCAAATTAATGTTTTCTGAAAACCTATTGTCCTTTCAATCACAACAGACATTCTCCCATAACTTTAATTGAATGCACTTAGACTATAGAGAAGTCCTGGTGGCTCTGTGATTAAAGTACTCAGCTGCTAACTGAAAGGTCGCTGGTTCGAACCACGGAGAAAGATGGGAGAAAGATGTAGCAGTTTGCTTCTGTAAAGATTTACAGCCTTGAAAACCCTGTGGGGCGGTTCTACTTTGTACTACCGGGTCGCTATGGGTCGGAATGGACTAGAGGGCAGTGGGTTTGGTTTTGGGTTTTAGGATCATGCAAAGGGTCAGCAGATAAAGGAGAAACTGCGGTTGTTTTAACTACCGGCCACTTTGGACTAAAATTTTTCGTTTGATCGAATTTAAGGGGTCTCCAGACGCTCGGAAGATGGGTCTTTTCCAGCAAATCGTGAAAGTGGGTTTACCGTTTTCCGCACCTGGAGAATTTTAGTCGCCACACTCTTTCCGGTACCCCCCAAGCCAGTCTTGCAGCATTTAGGTGAGTCCTTGGGAAGAGCTCATCTCTCAGAAAATAAACTGGGGAAAGGAAACAAAGCCACAGAAGTCTGTTCTCATCCCCTCGGGGCAGTGTTGGGATCCTTTAGCTGGGGACGCCCGGCAGCCACCTGCGACCCGCCAGATAAGTGCAGAAAAATTTGGGCCAAGTTACTTCCCTCCAAATGCGCGCAGAGTTGTGCCAGGCGCGTGTCCCGAAGATGCTCCAGCCAAGTAGAGGATTCAGGAGTCCCTTACCCTGGCGCTTATCGGTGGTCCCGTGGACAGGAGACAAAGATGGGGCTATTTCTTGCCCAGAAACTCAGCTGGACTAGATGGGTCTTAAAGGGAAGCGGGGTTGGGGCTCCGCGGGAGGGCAGGGCCAGGGGATTTGGCGTCCACTGCGCCCTCAGAGGGCGCGCTCGTTTCGGACCCTTCCCGGAGCGGGGGCGTTGGGGTATGGGTGGCTCCCGGAGCGGCGTTCTTGCGGCTGCGACTCCAGCCCCCTCCCTCCGCGAGTCGGGGGCGGGTAGTGGCGGGGTGGGAGTCATCCGAGCGTGATTGCCCGAGGCCCCTCCTGCAGCGACGAGGGAGCGCCATAAAAGCCCTGTTGCGACCCACTCTCAACACCCCATCAGCCAGCTCTAACCCCGCGGAGAGGCGCGCCAGACTGCAGAGCACTAGCCGCCCGGCCACGCCCGACCGCCCACCAGCTGGCCACCGTGAGTACCACCATCCGCTCCGCCAGGACCGGAGCAGAGGGAGCGCCGCGAACTTGCCCGGGGTGCCCTCTCACCCTCTGCGAACCCTACAGCCCTCGGAGTGTCGAGCTCGGGTCTCCAGCTTTGCGTGACAGGCTCTGCCCTCTCCGCAGCCCCCTTCTGCGCGCCAGGCCCTCTTGGCGGCAAAACTCCACTTGCTCCTCCTCTGAGTCCCCTGTGACTGTCCATTCTCCCTTGTCCTGGGCCCTTCCTGTTGGGCGGTCCCGCAGAGTTAGTTTTTGGAGAATATGGAGGGAGGACACAGGTCCTCCAACCCAGGGCAGCTGGCGCTGTCCTCGAGGTCGCCGCTCGGAAGCCAGAGGGCGGTGCGCGGGAGGGAGGTTTCCCAGGCAGCACCCTGACTGAGGAATCCCGGGCATTCTGGAGCCCTTCCACTCCCGGAATCCTCGGGATGGGAACTGAGACGGGCCGTACTACCCCAGAACCCACCAAAAAATTCCTTCCTCCTCATGGTGATCTCGGCCACCACTGTCGAGGATCGCACCTGCAGACCAAAACTAAGAGAAAAGAAAGTTTCTTCTCCAACAGAGATTTGGCGTAGAGGGTAGGAAAATGATAATTCTTCAACTGAATGGGAAGAACTTCTCATTGTGTTTAAAAGTATCTAACGGGCGAGAGGACACCCCCCGCCCCCATCCCCCTCGTCTCTGGAGTCTTGCCCAGCGACTCTGGGCTTTGCTACTTGGGGCCAAGTTTTGCGGTGCTTTCCGGCTGAGCAGAGGGGCGAGACCACAGTAGATAATGCTCTGAGCCAGCAAAGTGGTGCTCGCCACGCTCGGGTTCCCTCTGCGGGGCTGGGTCGGGGAGGAACCGGGAGTCGCTAGCGGTACAGCTCGAGAGGCTCGGGTGGCAGAGAAGGGAGGTGGGAGCGTGTGTTCCATGAATCCTGAAGCCCCTCGGCCGCGCCTTCTGTGCCTGCAGATGCTGGGTAGCAAGCGACTGGGGCTGTGCAGACTGACCCTTGCCCTGACCCTGCTCTTGTGCCTGGGCGCGCTGGTCCAGGCGTACCCCTCCAAGCCGGACAACCCCGGCGAGGACGCGCCTGCCGAGGACTTGGCTAGATACTACTCGGCGCTGCGGCACTACATCAACCTCATCACCAGGCAGAGGTGGGTGGACTCCACGAGAGCTGACTCCGGGCGTGCCATGTCTGCACTCCTGGGACTTGGGGATCTTAAGGGACAGGGACCATTTCTTTTACCTCGCTATATCCTAGGCACAGGGCAGTATCACACACACCCTGAATACTTGTAACTGTGCAAGGGCACTAGGTACTTTCAGGCTGCAACTACAGTCACACAATACCATGACCCACAGATAAAAGTTCCCCAGGCTGTGTAGTTGACCGTCTCCTCCCACATACCCCCTTTTCTTTTTATATCCTTACAGCGGTTGAGGATCTGCTAAAAACCGAGATGAGAAAGTGCTCCGAGAAAAGGGGCAGGAGTGAGTGCGCCAGGGAAGTGAGGAAGGGAGGAGGGTGACCAAGGGATCTTAAGAACAGCAAACATGCAAACAAACAGCACAAGGAAACATCTGGGCTGCTAAAGACTGCCTAATGTTCCAAGCTGCCCAGTATGAATTGAATGAGAGTATTTAGAAAAAAAGACCAAGAGAGCTATCTTTTTTTTTCTTCTCCCTTCTATATAGTGTTTTGTTTTCTGCAGTCTCAGTTCCTTACTTGAAAATTCCAGTCTCCATAATTGGAGATTTAGCAAGTAGCCAGTGGATTTAAGACACAGAGACTTTCCTTATTCTTCAGCTGGTGACTTCTGAAAAGAACTGCTCCTTTGGTGTTTTATTAAGGAGAAACTTACATAGGTTTAGTCACTCTAGGATGAATCCTGGTTTTCCAAGGAATCTGAGAAATTGTAAGATTTTACTCTGAACTTCCAGAAAGGCAAAATCAAACACCACCTTTCCACTCTTAGCATTAAATATTAAGTAAAAAGGCAAATCCAAACTATTTATAGATGATATAAAAATAACCAAACCCAAACTCACTGCTGGAGTCAATTTTTTTTGACTCATTGGGACATAATATAGGATTTAAAAAGTGTTTTCAAAATTGGTTCCTCTTAGGTAGAAATCATGTAATATCTTGTTTGGATGACAAATCAAATGACCTTAATAAGCTACAAGAGATAACCTTTCAAAGCATTTGTTTTATTTAACATGTTTAGAACCTGTTTTTGTTGTCGTTTTTTTTTTTTTTTTTTTTTTAACTTTTGGTAGCATAATTTCACTGTTTACAAATCAAGGGATAGTTGGAAATGCTAGAATTAAATGATAATTGGTTTGTAATCTTTTGAAATCTGATCATTTTAATCAGGGAAAAGCAATAATGTCGTATACCCTAATAGACTGCCCAGAAAGTTCATTGCTTCAAATTCTTGCTTTTGCTAGCATACAAACCAGAGAAAAGAACTATACAAATAACCAGATTTTTCTTTTAAGTCACTGCTGTTATTTATTTTTTCTAGGAAACTTTTATTGGCTATTTCAGTTACAGTATAATATACTGTAGAACTTACATTTTCGAAGGGGATTGCCATTTCCCATCCCATTGTATAAAGCTTTACCATTTCAAAATGTTTTCCTAGGCATTATCTCCTTTAGTCTTTATTTCAAAGCTTTGAAGAGAGTATAATTATCTCCATTTTATAGATCCTGCAACTAAGGGCTATTCATGAAAGCTTTTGTGTTAAGGGTGATGGAACTAGAATCATTCTATTGAGTTTCCTTGAATATTGTCATCACCATCAGCCATGTGATCTCTCCAACATCTCTGATAAGGAAAAAGTAAGAGGAAAGGAACTTGAGTTTTGTGGGTAGGGATGCAGGTTAGATGGGAACGACTCACCCCTGAGGCACAGTTTCCTGTCTCCAATGCATTCACCCCAAGAGCAAATGTTAGGTTGGTAGTGTAGAGTGCATCATCCTGCCTTTGTTTCCTCTAAGAAATTATATGATGATTTTTGTGTGTACAGCCCCATCAGAAAGTGAAGAGCTGGCCCCAGGAATTTCTCACTTTTTCTCCTCCCCCATAATGTCACACAAAAAGATTATGCCTCACTTAGCAGAGATGTGGTCTCAATTATCTCATTTTCTTTATAAGTTCCAGATTTCTTTATAAGTTCTTTCTTAAAACCCACGAGATTCTTCCTCTCTGCCTTTTCACCACAGACACCCATTCGAATGTGTTTGGCATGTATCCTTGACAATGTGTGTGCCTTAGAAAATTACTGTGTCATTTTGTGAATATCTGTTTTAATTTGGTATAAATGGTGATCTGGTAGAATATCATTCCACTTCTTCCTTTTCTCTACTTAAGCCATAATTTTAAGCTACGTTTATGGGCTGTCTCTGCCTCTGATTTTCTAGAGTGTGGGGTCTACTATATTTGCTCACACTTTCCTCTAGAAACCAGAACCACAGAGTCGACTTCTACTCATGACAACCCCATGTGTGTCAGAGTAGAACTGTGCTCTAGAGGTTTTCAATGGGTAATTTTTTGGAAGCAGATCTCCTGGCCTCTGAGTGGACTCGAATTTCTAACCTTTTGGTTAGCAGCCCTACGTGTTAACCATTTACATCACCCAGGGACTCCGACACAGCCCTATAGATCAGTTTTTCTCAACAAGGAGGAGTCATTTAGCATTGTGAGGAGACATTTTTGGTTGTCACAGCTGGAGCTGTGCTACTGGCATCTAGTGGGTAGAGGTGAGGGATGCTGCAATGCACAGGACAGCTGCCAACAATGAAGCATTATGTGGTCCAAAGCGCCAGTAGTGCCAAGGTTGAGAAAGCCGGCCCTAGATGAGCGGTTCTCCTGGAGAGCTTTTCAAATACACTGATCCTGGGCTCCACCTCAGACCAATTAAATCAGAATCTCTGAGGGGTGGGACCTGGGCTTTGGTGTTTTTCAATAAAGCTCCCCAGGCGATTCTAATGTGCAGTCGGGTTTGTCCTTGAGAGTCAATCTTTGAAAGTTAAAACATCTTTGAAAGAAACAATATAATCCAGGATTAATTAGAGCAGGAACAATGTGGAGGGTGTTCTGGATGCCACTTGATTTAAGATTGAGAGATCCTGCTATTACTGACCTAGCTTTTTAACTGGTAAATTGGAGTCGATATTTGCCACTTGTGTTTCTGGAGTGTGATGAAGATAAATTGAGTTAAGGGTGCCCAAGAGTTTTAACATTAGTAAAATCAACTGATAGAATAAATAAGTATAAGCAGCTGCTTACAGTTAGATATCAAAACACCAGAAAATCTTTGAAGAAATCTTACAGATGATGGAGGGACAGCAGCGTTTGTTTTCCATGAGTCTCAGCAAAGGAACAATAATAGGGAAATCTTTACCAAAAATTTAGATTTAATTATGTTGGCTATGCAGTTAGAGTGCATACCCTCTTGTTGGCTTTGTTTGGCTATTTCACCTATTAGTTAATCAATCCCTGGCCAATTTTTCATCTGTGAAGGGTATTGCTGCTGCTGACCAATGTCTTTTTAGGGAAAGAGGAAAAAATACCTCTTCAAAAAGTACAGCATGATATGGAAATCAACCTTTAGCAATGTGTGTATGTGTGTGTGAGAGAGAGAGAGAGAGAGAGTGAGAGAGAGAGAACTATTAAGAGATGGAAACTCACTCACCTGGAATAGAGCAGGTAGACATGGCCTGCATTCATTTATTTTTCTATCTATATCCTGCTACAGGAGAAAAAAGACCAAGTATACTTCTACAGACCAGTAGCTTCTTTTATATTTACAGGGCAGATATAACTTTGTTGTTAGGCACACCAAATAAAAATGGAGTATATAGGACCCAGAATCTCTAAGATCCTGTGCATTTCAACAGCAGTCGCTTGCATTTGCATATCACTGTCACTTTCAAAGCACTGTGACACACATTTCTCTTTGGGTCTTCCCAAAACTCTGATTGAAGTAGAGATTATTATTTTGTTTTCACAAATGAGGAACCTGAGATTTAGAGATACAGGTGAGTCTAGAGCATCAGTCTTTTTCAGTTTCTTTTTCACACTGATTCTAGAATTACATCTGGTCTCTTCATTGAGATGTCAGCTGCTCTGTGAACTATATCTAATGTACTAATAGTAGAGATTTAAACAATAACACTGAGTAATTTTATTTCCTGCCACATGGAGTAGTGCCTAAGGCATTTGACTGCTAACCAGAAGTCTGGCAGTTCAAACCCACCAGCCACTCCTTGGAAGGAAGACGGCGCAATCTACTTCTGTAGTGATACCACTTTGGAAACACAAGGAGGGGTCTCTATGGGTCAGACCCGACTCAACGGCAGTGAGTTTGGTTTGGAGTAATAAAATTGCATCTGTATGTTTCTGATAATGTATGTTTCATAACACCTAGTGTACTACTTCTTAGCAGAGGATCAATTGAAAACAATTTTTAGGTTTAACAATCCAAATGGGAAGCTCTCTTCTCTTTTCTATAGATTCTAATGGCTATTGTAAGCTTTCTTTAAAAGACTTTTTTTTTTTTTTTTTAAGGTATGGAAAACGATCTAGCCCTGAGGCACTGATTTCAGACCTCTTGATGAGAGAGAGCACAGAAAATGTCCCCAGAACTAGGTAAGAAAAGGCTTGTGATGCAGACTTTAATGCGGAGCCTATGGTGCTCAATGGTGGGAGGCTGGAGATGACTTCATAGTGGGGGGCATTAGAATGAGGTCTTAAGACTAGGTAGGTGTTCTAGCTACCTCGTGCCACTCTGACAACAATACACCACAACTGGAATGGCTTGAAGAAAAGGAGTTTATTCTCTTACAGTTCGGAAGGCTAGAAGTCCGAGTTCAAAATGCCAGCTCTAGGGGCTGTGTGAGAGCCTCTTGATCTTGGGCTGCAGCTCTGCCTCTTGCTCCCAACCCACTGAAGCTAGAGGCATCTCTTCAAAGCAGCTACTGGCTACTGAGGCTAACAAGCCCAAGGATGACAAAAAATGGCACAGTCCCGATGTTACCAAACCACATGGCAGGCTATTAATTTAAGTCCATTGTAAGTCCCGAGACAGAATATGGCAGGCTGCTGAACAACGACATGTGGGGCTCAAGTGTGCCATAAACTAGAGACCATTCCCCAAGGCTTCTGCTTATATACAGGAAGCAGCCCACATTCCCTAAGGCAGCTACTCAGCTGCTCACAGTAGATTCCACCATGGAGTTGATTACCAGTCTCATCATGGGGAGTACTACATCCAGCTGCCCAGCCACTCAACCAGGCCCAGCCAAGTTGACACACAAACTGAACTACCACAGTAGGATTTGGGCAGGCAGGAATGAGGAATGAGGTAGGGGAGGTTCTTTCTTTTCGTGTACTCATTTGTGATTCTCTAAACTTCTGTGGGGAAATATTTTCAAGCCCAAATTATCAGCTGCTCTTTTGAAAATGTTAAACTTGAGGAACTTTTGCCTCAGACATTACTCTATAGAATTTCCAACTAGAATTGGGGGAGTCCCTAAATAAATTGAAATGCTTTAGCTGGGACCTTTTTTTTTTTTCATTTTTTCATATTCTGTGTTCAATATCTAGATGTCCTAGGGAGTGTTCCTGATGGGTCTTGGTCCAATGTTCCTGGCTTTACTTGAAGCTGTAGATAAATCATGGAGTGCTCTTGTTTTGACTTACATTTTAGCTCAATTGATAACCACAATTTATTGCATTCAGTGAATGCATGTTGAATGAAGTATTGTTCTTAGGAGCTTGTCTGTAGCTACAAGTCTTTTGTCAGCATGTGGATCTGTCTTAGAAAGAGGTCCCCACCAATATCTAAGTGTCATATGTTGGGCTAGGAGTCTGGTGCCTCTTGGATAAGGAGTGCTGCTAAAAAAGGAACCTGGTCCTTCTCAGTTTTCATAACTGCCTAGGTTCTCTGTCCTCTGCCCTCAGGCCTCTACCCTCAGTAAGGTTACATTGCACATAGTCTGTTCATTTCTATGGTGGCTTGTCTACCTTTAACTCAAAGCTCTGTAACATTAAGGATCAAATTCCCCAGAAGAGGTCACTAGAACACTTGCTCAGTGACTAGGACTCAAGAGTCACTCTTCCTTGGGGTCTTCCCTAGAGAATCCTAGGGCCCGCTGAACCTCTGCCTGCCCTCCCACCCATCCTCCTCAGTTGTCATGTGAAATGGTCAGCTTGGGTGAAGAATGCAAGTATAGAGTTCTTAGATTTGTTTTCTCTGAGAAAAATTTTGATTTAGACTGGAATAAAACTCCAGTACTCTTGTCCCTGGAGGTGCCAGCCTAGACTTAAACATCAAATGCTCACAGATTCTTGGAATATAACAAAGTACAAAGGAAGCAGGTAGAAAATTCCTAAGTGTTGCCTTTAAATACTAAAATGATAAGTGCCTTTTCAGGTCTGATGGATATTCATATCATATTTGCCACAGTAAAAAGGTTAGTGTTGACTCCATCTACTCAAGGTTAGGACGATAACAATCCAGGACTACTTAGAGCTTTGCTGGTCTTTGTTTTATGGCTTTAAAGCACAGGACTAGTTCAAGAACTAAAGTTAATTGCACTTTGAATGAGAGCCTCAACCATGTGCAGTTAGAGACAAAACTTGACAACCTTAAAGTTGCCTATGAATGCTACTTTATTAAAAAGGGTCCTTCATAGTCTAATAAATAGCATCTTACTACATAAAAAGGCTTTCAGGAAAACAAGGGAGCATATTCAAAGAGTAGAGTGACAATAACTTTCTTGTTACAGTTTTGTGTGATTCCTGTAGTTCTGATTTTCAGAAATGTTACAAAGTTCTTTGACTCATTTGATGCATACAAAACCTTCTAAACACTCCCTGGGTGCTTTGCCTGAGACTCACTTGTTTAGTGAAAGCTATTCAGCTGGGGCTTTGTACACTATGCCACTGTCTCACATCCTGATATTCTACTGGCCTCCTATTTACAATGCCAACAGCAGCTTTTCCAATAATTTCAGTTCAGAACTGAGTGTCTCACTGTTCCCAGGATGTTGGGAAGCTTCTCCTACATGTTTTGCTTATGTTTTACAGGCTTGAAGATCCTTCTATGTGGTGATGGGAAGTGAAACTTGCTCTCCAGTCTTTTCCTATTTTTCAACCCATATTTCATACTGTGAAACCTGACTCTGCCTGTCCTACCAATGCATGCAGCCACTGTGCTGAACTCTGCACGGTTTTCCTTTGTCAACATTGTATATATGTATGTTTAAATAAAGTACCATGCATTCAAAAGCGTATCCTCCTCAGTGGAAAATCTGTTACTGCAATAGTGAACATTACTTGAAATTATTCATTAACTTACAGTCACTCCCATGTAGCAGATTCAGGGCTTGTTTCATCACTATTAAAGCAGTGGCTTTGAAAGATATAAAGATATGATATTTGTGTATGTGTGTGTATAAGATATAGAAGTGTTTAGAAACTTAGAGCAAGGGAATGCTAGTTAGGGAAATTTTTCTGACCTCCTTGCTCTTCACATGGAACCCTCGTTAACCTCCTGTATGTGTGTCATCAGCAGAAGAGACTGCTGTCTAATTGGTGTTGAATTACTCAATCAGCAAGGTAAGTATCAGCTGACTTTGCTTACTTACTAATCTGTAGTGAACAATTTCACATTTTTTCACTACATCAAAGATTCTGCTTCTACATATGGCTGGCATAGCTACCTCTCTCTCAACCCCACAGCACCTTCCTACAGAACCAAAGCCTCTTTTCAAATTTACAATCCCTGACAGAGATAGTGAACCCAGTAAGTAAGGTAAATACTTGCTTACTTGTGCTTACTTACTGATCTGTAGTGAACAGTTTTCACACGTTTTCACGTCATTTTTCACCATGTGAAACTTCACTACATATGGTAGGTAGTTAAGGTCATTGTTAACTTGGCTGGGCCTGGTGGATGGCTGGGCAGCTTGGTCTAGTTATTCCCCATGGTGAGACTGGCAATCAGTTCCATAGTGGAATCTACTGGAGCAGCTGAATAGTTGTTTATGTATGTGGTCTGCTGCCAGTATATAACAAGCAGCTTTGAGGAAGGTCTCTAGTTTTTTGGCACTCTTGAAACCTGCATGTAGCCAAGTCATTGTTTCAGCAGCCTGCCATGCCCTGCCAATCTTGGGACATTTTCTGGACCTGAATTAGTGGCCTACCATGTTGTTTGGTGATATTGGGATTGTGCCTTTTTACTTGTTGACCTTGGGTTTGTCAGCCTCAGCAGCCAGCAGCTGCCTGAGTGAAGAAAAGCCTTTAGTTTCAGTGGGCCAGGAAGAGGAGGCAGAGCTGAAGCCCAACATCGAGGGGCTTTCACCCAGCCCCTAGAGCCTGGCATTTTGAACTCGGACTTCTAGTCTCCAAAAATTGGAAGAATAAACTCTTCTTTGTTAAAGCCATTCCACCTGTGGTATTTTCTGTTAGAGAGGCACAAAGTAACTAAAACACTACAAATTAGGAAACACAAGCAAGCTCATGCTTACCTTGCTTAATGGGTAATACACCCCTGTGTTGGAGGAGCTCTGGTGGCATTGAGCTGCTAACCAAAACGTCAGTGATTTGAAACTACAGGCTGTTCTTGCAGGAGAAAGATGAGGCAGTCTGCTTCTATGAAGATTTATAGCCTTGGAAACCCTATGGGGCAGTTCTTCTACTCTGTCCTCTAGTGTCACTGAGCTGGAATCAGCTTGATGGCAGTGGGTTTTGTGGGTTTACTTCTGTGTCTAATAGAAATTTTTGCAAAATGTTTCATGTCCGCTCTGTCCCAGATGGTAGCCACTAGCCACATGTAAAATGGCTTGTGGAAATATGAAGCTGAATTTTAAATTATATTTCATTTTAATTAATTTAAATACAAATAGCCACAAGTGGCTAGTGACTACCATATCTGACAGTCAAGATCTATATATCTGTTTAGCCCACCAGTATCTTGGAACTTGAGTCATAAACAAAAATATACCAAGAAGGTGATTATTTTTTCACAAAATATGTGGCATATTAATTTATCTAAGGATTATTAAACTGCTCCATCCTTTAAGTATGTATTTATATGCACTTAATTTTAAAATTAATATTATTAGATTCTTACAAGTAATTTCTAAGTCAAAGAAAAAGGGCTCTCATCCCATATTGGTATTTTGAATCATGCTGTCCAAAACATGTACAAATATTTTTATGTCACATCTTAATACTGTTTATAAAAAAACCTAAAAATAACAATATATATCATGGCTTAGGGAATTTTATAGTGTACAAAATAAACTGTATAAAAGGAAGTCTAATGTATCTTTACCCAATGATGTCAATGATGCTAAAAAGCATAATTTTTAAAATGAAATTTATATAAAACATATGCCATTTGTCTAAAACAGGGCTTCGAACCGGTTCTTTCTGATTCAGTCATGGCCAACAAAGCAACACTGGAATGGCCTTGAATTTGTAAAATATGGGTGTGTACAGGAACAGGAAAAAAAAAGTGTAGGTCAACATTCTATTAGTAACTTAATCTCCATCTTAGAAAACAATGACAGCATGAACATTGCGTAGCAACCAAATCTCTTGATTGGCACAGTGAGAAACAACTGTGCCCAGCTCAAAGATGGCAGCTGATTGCGCCACTTTAAATGTGTGTCACTCTTCACAGTCCTGCTAATACTCCAACAGGCTCCTGAAAGAGCTCACTGTGTCTCTTCCATGACTCCCATTTCAGAGCCTGAAAAGTTAAACATTAAACAACCTACATATATATACTCCATATACTTTGATATGTACTATAGGCCTTGAGTCTCTGCCTCTTCACTTTATCTTACTGGAAGGGAGACTCAGCTTTCATACCCTGGAGGACTGTGGTTTTGATTCAGTGACTTCCAAGTTCTCTGGCCTCAAATTCACTAAACTTCTGAGTTCTCATCCATAAAATAAGGGTGATAATTCCTGCCTTGCTTTCCCTATAAATACTGTGATCAAAATTCAAGTTAAGATAATGTTACAAGTTAGTACTAGAAGGGAAGTGAATGATGATTTCTGAGAAAGAAGAAATACTAGTACCAGAAGGGAAGTTTTTGATGATTTCTGACTTGCATTATGTATTACTTTCCTACGGCTGCTCTAACAAAGTATCACAAAATAGGTGGCTTAAAATGACAGAAATTTATTGTCTCTCAGTTCTGGAGGCTAGAAGTTTGGAATCAGGGTGCTGGCGGCATTTATTGCTTCCTTTTGAGGGCTCTGAGATAGACTCTGTCCCATGCTTCTCCCTAGCTTCTGGTGACAGCCGACAATCTTTGGCATTCCGTTGATTTGTAGTTGCTGTCACCATCACGTGATGTTCTTCCCTGTATGTGTCTGTGTCTCTTCACTTCTTTCATAGGGACACTCACTACTCATGTTGGATTAGTACCCACCCCACTCCCGTATGACCTCATGTTAACAGATAGCATCTTCAAAGACCCTGTTTCCAAATGAGATCACATTCCCAGGTATGTAGGACACAATTCTATCCATAGCAAATTACACATTCCTAATAAATAAGAATTAGCTTTAAGAAACACAATGAAGGTAAGCTGCAAAAAAAAAAAAAAAAAAGCAAAACTATATTCTAAGAGTTTCTCTATAGCAATATTTCTCAAACATTTATAGCTGCTCACCTTCTTTGGAACAGGTTTAAAGGCTTAAGACCACTCACTTGCCATTGCAAAAAATAGTAATAAACCTCACTAGTGTTAAAATAAGGACAGTTCAGTTTTCACTGATGAGGCACCTTTGAGCAATAAAATCATTATCAAGGACATCTATAAAGATTTATTAAGTTCTTCTCTGATCCCAGCTCTGTTCTACACTTTATAAGGCATAATTGTGCATCATTTTTTGCACATGTCATCTTTGTTTTCATTTTGGTCTTTATGATGCCCATGATAGTCAAGCATCTTTCTGATAGGTGAGAAAACTGAGGCCTAGGGAAGAAGTAACTTACCCCACCTCCTATCAAGTTAGTGGAACTGGATGGCAGCTCTCCTACTTGACATCTTTGCCCTGCCTGATGATATCTTCCAGAAGAAATAAGTGGATACCAGGTAATATATGATTTAGTTAACAATATAACTTTGGCACATGTTCTGGTTACCAAGTACTGCTCTGACAAGAATATACCACAAGTGGGATGGTCTTAACTAATAGGAGTGTGTTCTCTCATAATCTGGAGGCTTTAAGTCCAAGTTCAAAGTGCCAGGTTCTAGGAGCTAGGTGAAAGCCCCTCAGCCTTGGGCTTCAGCTCTGCCTCTAGCTCCTGGCCCACTGAAGCTAGAGGCTTTTTTACTCCAGCTCCTGGCTGCTGAGGCTGCCAAGGCCAGTGTTGACAAGTAAAAAACGCACAGTCCTAATGTTACCAAACCACACAGCAAGCCAATAATTCAAGTCCATTTGAAGTCCTGAGATCGGCAGAGCAAGGCAGGCTGCTGAACAATGACACAGCTACATGCAGGGTCCAAGCATGTCATAAGGTAGAGACCATTCCCAAAGCTTCTGCTTATATACAGGAAGCAGACAACATGCCAAAGACAAACATACTCAGCTGCTTGTGGTAGATCCCACCATGGAGTTGATTACCAGTCTCATCATGGGGAATAACTACCACCAGCTGTCCAGCCACTCAACCAGGCCCAGCCAAGTTAACACACAAACATAACCACCACAGCACACTTAAAACAAATTAGAGAATAACTAAAGTACTAAATTGTGACAATACTTGGGGTCACTCCAAGTTGGGATCAACTCAGTGGCACTGGTGGTGGCGGTGGTGGAATGTGTATTGAACATTGGGAATCCAAGGACTACGAATAATTTCTTAGGGAATTTACACCTAATTCCAAAACCAAAACATATAATTACAGTGCATTATTAGAAGTACAAAGATGAGAGTGTTAGAGGTTTGGGGTGTAGACAGGTACTAGAATCTTCCTAGGCATGCCTCCCTTTGGAGTTTCCTGATAAATAGTACATAAAATAACTGCCAAATGAGGAACAAAGTGTCAGGTGGGCAAACACTCAATGAGGCAGAAGGCAGCTCTGATCTGGTTAACTGAATTGGGGTGACTTGCCAAAGCCTGGGGTTGTGGGGTGTACCTCTGCCTTCCATACCACATGTTAGCATCCTGCTGGAGAGTGGCAGAAAGAGTTAGATCTTTGTGGCAGACTCCTAAATCCACTTACCAAGCAGCCACATAGACAAATAGGGCCATTCTGCCT